CTGTGATACAGATAGCTACAAATACAATCAATCAATGAAGTACAAAAACAATGCAATTAATACAAGTTATACAACACACATAAATACAATAATGATTGAATCAATAATAATGACAAAACCGAGCCAGTTTTTGCTACCTGTACTGATCTAATTTCTAGCTGGCTCGCAAACCTACTCCTACCTACTGCCTCTTCCCGTGACGAGAAGAGGAGGGGGGAGGGGCGAGAGAGCCAGCCGGGTTCTTGAAATTGAACACTTAGCTAATATACTCGTGGTATAAAGAAAAGTGCAATACAAAATCAAGTTAGTGGTTAGTGAATGTATAACTGTAATAGTTTACAATAATATGTTTAAACGCAAAAGAGATCGTTACGTTGATCACAATTCACAGAGCACAATATGAAGATGTTTGCCGTATGAACGCCGCGGACTCTCTCCCGCGCCCATGGTCGAAGTCGAACTAATATAAGGTTAACCAATACGAACTACGAAACTCAATTTCGCCAATGGAGATTGTTGTTCGCCTGTGACGTCACTGATCTCAGTGACGTCACGGGCATTAACCAATCACCGAAATGCGTTCAAACCAGTCAACCAATCTGTCGTGGGAATGACGACTTGACGAGTTTGTTTACGTTTCTCTATCTCAGTGACGTAACAAGAAAGCTGAACTGAAAGGCGGAACTTCTCGTGGGTCGACCAGACTCAACCTTATACTTGTCTACCGTACTAACCGTAGTTCAACCATGGTTGCGCCCATGAGATACCGAGTCGACACTTCTCTCTCCGGACCCGCCTAGGCTTGCAATACAAAACAAGCGTCGAATGAAAGATACTACGAAATTCAATCAAAAAAAGTTGACAAGTGTGAAATTTATTCAATAGTCGAAATGATTGGAGAATTAAATTTGATCGTTACCGATTTGAAAGTAGAACCTTGCTGCTACATCGTAACCATTGTCCGCCAATAAAGAGCCATTGACACACCATTGTTTCGGCCCCGGTCCGGGTTCAGCTGGACCACGTCTCGGACAATTTTACGGCCGGACTCGTGGCCCATGTTTGACATTGAACTAATATAAGGTTGACCCGCGGCAATGACGATTTTTCGCCGTTCTGCGTA